GAGTTAAAGCAGTTGAATGGAGGCGGAGTACCAATACTAGTGGAGGCAGTAACACCACAGCAACCAGAGAGTCCCAAGCAGAAGATGAACCTTGACCTAAAATAAACTCCAGACTTTTCACAAAAACAAATCAAAACAAATCATGAACCTAAACATAAACGTATCATTTTTAGGAAATCGTAGGAGAAACCCTTTGACATATAAGATTAGGCAATATTATACTTGAAAGTTAAAGTGTGATAGCTGATCTTGGCTGTCAGTTTGATACACCTGAGAAGAGGAGAACTCAGCTGAGGAACTGCCTCCATCAGAGGGCCTTTGGGCATGTGTGTAGGACATTTCCTTAATTGCTGGTTGATGTAGGAAGGTCTAGCCCACTGTGGGTAGCACCGTCCCTATGCTACGTAAGAAAGCTAGCAGAGCCAGCCAGAAAGTGGTGCTCCTCCGTAGCTTCTGCTTCAAGTGCCTGCCCTGAGCTCCTGCCCTGAGCTCCTGTCCTGGCTTCTGCCCTGAGCTCCTGCTCTGAGCTCCTGCCCTGAGCTCCTGCCCTGGCTCCTGCCCTGAGCTCCTGCCCTGGCTCCTGCCCTGGCTCCTGCCCTGAGCTCCTGCCCTGGCTCCTGCCCTGAGCTCCTGCCCTGAGCTCCTGCCCTGGCTCCTCTCAATGACAGACCATTACCTGTAAGCTGAAGCAAACCCTTTCCTCCCCTGCTTGCTGTTGCTCGTGTGTTTGTTAGACAGAGCAACGGGAAAGCCAAGTAGGACACAAAGCATGACTTATGAAAAGGAAAATATGATAAAGTGGACCCCACTGAAGTTAACTATATTTGCTCTGTGAGGGAGCCTGGTAAGGAGATGAAAAGACAAATTACAGAGCAGGAGAAAACATTTGAAAAATCACAATACCCAACACAGCACTTTGAATCTAGCACATAAAAAAACCAGACGGTGGCTTTATTCATAATAAGCAAAATTTGAAAACACAAATGCCTTCAATGGAGTAAACTGCTGGGTGACTGGGTTCGATGCCCACCACCAGGGAAGACCACTCAGGAATAAAAAGCAGCCGACTGTCGTGGATGAACAAGCTGGGGTGACTCTGGAGAAAATTATGCTGAGTGCAGAAAGCGGGTCTCAAACTGTACACACTTCACAATCCCATTACATAATATTTGTGTAACGACATAATTACGGAGATGGAGAACAGATGAGTGGTTGCTAGGGATTGGTGCTGAGGAGGGAGAGGAAGGGCAGAGCCATGAGGGTACCATGTGGGAGTCCTGTGGTGGTGGCTCTGTTAGGAATCTTGACTGTGGTGCTGCCGAAACCAAGCTCTGTGTCGTGAGACAACAAGCATTCTGGAAACAATGCAGGGTCACAAACCTGGGCTGGTGGTCATCTGAGCAGGGGCCATCGAGTGGCTCTGGGGAAACTGTGCTTGGCCTAATGGAAAGTTCAGGTGTCTTGGTTGGAGATATCCACCCACTCTCCCTGGCGACTATGTGAACTCCAGCTACAGAATTAGACTACATTTCCCAGCCACCCTTGCAAGGAAGCAGCTGTCCAGTCAACAGCGCATAAGTGAACAGCTCTGTCCTCTGCGTAAGCCCTTTCCCTTCTCAGGAAATCTGAAACCTTGTAGAGAAGTCCCCTTTCCAAGATGCATATCCCTAAGATGCTTAGTGGATGTCTGAAACAGAACATACCAGATAGATAGATAGATAGATAGATAGATAGATAGATGGATGGATGGATGGATGGATGGATGGATGGATAGATAGATAGATAGATAGATAGATAGATAGATAGATAGATAGATAGGAGAGAGAGATACAGTTCATTCTATATATCCAACTTCTGATAAAGTTCAACTTATAAGTCAAGGCACAACACAAGATTAACAACACCAACTAATAAAATGAGGGGAAAACGTAACAATATACTGTAATAAAAGTCAAATGGATGTAATATACCCCCTCGAGATAGCTTATTTTACATTTACCTTTCTCCTTAAAGGAAGCACTTCCTGGCTTCTCTCTGGCATCTGTGAATCACTGGTGTCACTACTTGGGACCACTAATAAATGACATAATGGTGGCTTGAATACAAACCCTGCCTAGCCAACTAACTGATTAACAGGAAGGTGATGTATTCAGAGTAGATACACTAGAAAATGGTACGATTCAAATCCAGGACCAGATAAAACAGGAGGTATGTATTATTCCATACGGGATGTAACTTCACACTTATGAATACTTGCTTCTGTAATTGTCCATTATATATTTGCAGCCTCTGTCAACTGGTATCAGCTGAAACTGTGGAAAAGAAAACCATGGCTGAGGAAGGGCTGCTGTGCGGAAGAGGGAGGAAGCCTGAGTTCTCCAGTCTGAGAGGATTTCTTCTGGGACCATGTGTTATAAGCCATTATTCTTGACAGTGACCAACAGTTCCTAAGTAATACCCTCAGGCCCACAGCTCCTAGGCAGATCACCAGTATTCCCAGCCTTAATGCCCTCTCTGGGTGGCTGTACTCGGGGAGGGTCTGGATGGTGGGCTGAGATGCCTAGATAACCTCCTAGAGATAGCACCAAACCCTCTGAGCATCTAAGGGAGGGAAAGGATCCTGAGTTTGGGGTTTATATCCTCAAACTCAGGTTCTGGAGGGTCCAGATGGCTCACTGGACTCACATGAGTCAAAAATTCATAAGCTATTAGTTACTTTTCTTTTGCTGTAATAAAACACCATAACCAAGGCAACCTATAGAAGGCAGGGTTTATTTGGTCTTACAGTTTCAGAATTTTAGGGGCCATATTGGTGGAGACAGCATAGAAGACATGGATCCTGCTGGAAGCTGAGAGCTGACGGCTCACACCACAGGCTTCAAACAGGAGACAGAGAGAGAGAGAGAGAGAATTAGTATGTGTCTTTTAAACTCCAGGGCCTGCCCCCAGTGACATGCATCCTCCAACAAGGTCTCACCTCCTAAACCTTATGCAAACAGCACCACCAGTTGTGGATCAAGTACTCAAACAGCTGAGCCTGTGGGAGAAATTTTCACTCAAACCACCACAAGGTCCCACAACAAAGCCTGGGGTTGAGGGATGCTCAGTCGTTCATTTATTCATCTCATTCATACTTGTGTTCATTTACAAATATTGAATAATTATTTTATGCACGGGGTACATGGAGAATACACAGGTGATTGCTACCCTATGTAACTCACAAGCAAGCTAGTTGAAGACAAAAGCAGGCCGGTGGTACTGGTACTGTGGAGAGCAGAGGAGGAGGAGGCGGAGTGAGAGTCCTGTACTTCTGCAGTGATGGGAGAGGTCTTTCGAGGAGGCCATGCTGGAGACATGTTCTGAAGGGGCCTGGGGAAGAATTTTCCAGACAGAGACACAGCAAAAGTCTTGTAAAGGACTATATCCGAGGAGTGGGAACCAAGAGGAGGCATGGGAAGCTGGGGCAGAGGAAGAGGCAGACATGTCTGTACTTCCCAGTGTGTTAAGACAGCTATGGTGGGGAATGATGGATGCCCAGAAGAGGTACTGACCTGGGAATCAGGGACAACTTCCTGAAAGGTGTCAAACCACGACTGGGTCTTGAAAGTGTCAGTGGGGAAGATGAGTGGAGTCGGCTACCACTCCAGGAAGAAGCCTGGGCAAGAAATGCTCAGGATGGAAGGGGACGCTGGGTGGGGTATCACACACCTGTTATGCCAGCAATTGGGAAGAGGAGGGAAGATGGTCAGGGGTTCAAGGTCATCTTTAGCTAAGCGGTGAGTTCCGGGCTAGCCTGAGGTAGACGGCTCACAAAAACAAACAAAACCAAAACAAACAAACAAACAAACAAAAAAACCAGGTGTGCGAGGCCTGAGAAACTTGCAAAATAGGGCGAGAAGTTGGAGATTTGGAATGAAAGGGAGAAGAGAGAAATCGGAGTCATCAGAACCAGAGGACCCTGCAGGGAACCACAGTGTTTACCAGAGGCAGGCCCCTGCACATGGGCTGGGGGGTGTAGGGGTGGGACAGCCAGCCTTGGAACCTCTTTGCAGGAAACAGAAAGTCTGACTGTCCTTTGGGCCTGCCAGGCTCTCTCCACCCTCTCTGTGACGAGACTGTGTGCTGGAAAGTGGCCGAAAGGCGATGGACCTGCTGCTCAGCTTTGGGCAAATCATGTGGTCTCTCTGAGCATCCGGTCTCCTTCGGAAGGAGTCCTTAGTTAAAACGGGAGCTGTTCTGAAGCTTTTAGCTCACAGAAAGTGTTTAGCAGAAGGCCAAACTCGTGGGTCTCGGATATCTCCGTGGCAGCTTGGCTCAAAGGGTCACCGGAGGCAAGAGAGTACTGTTTTATTGAAAGAGCAATTTGGCACTCAAACAGTTAAAACTAACCCAATCCCGGAGATAAGACTTTAAGAAACACTCCAGGTCCCAGGTCCCTTCATAAGCAAATTTATGAGATGCTGGACACTGGGTCAAAGAATAGGGGATCCCCAAGGCTGCAGCAGGAATCGCTCAGGGCCTGGACCAGACCGTGTTGGGGACAGCTAGAAAGAAAAGAGGGTGGAGCAGCGTGGGTCACACTCCCACCCCTGAGAGCCAAGGGATGGAGAGAGCAGCGCGAGCGGGCTGGATACCAGAGAGCCAGGTGTGGACAGCGCGCCAGAAAGGGGCCTAGCTCTTGGCAAGAGTGGAGTGTTGGAGGCCAGACAGTCAGGGGACAAACAGTTGGAACAGTAAAACAAGCCAGGAGGGTCCTGGGAGAAGGAGGGTAGGAACCAGAAGTGGCAGAGGGAGGGTGCTGCTGGAGGGTCTGAACGGGTGAGTGCGAGTACTCCGTGTGCGTGTGTGTACCTGCAGTCGGCCTGTGCCCGTGCTCAGGGTGTGGGGTTGTGTGGGGCGGGCAGGACCGCAGGCACCCGCACGGGCCCCCCGAGGGTTAAGCGCCGCCCAGCCGCCGGCTCCTCCCCATCCCGGCTGCGCGGCCAAGCTGACGCCCTCACTCGACCCACCGCGCCCTGGGCGCACGGCGGGTTCCCGGTGACCGCAGCGACCAGCGACCCGCGGATGCGCAACGCGTGCCACGAACTGTCCCCGCACAGCGGCTGCCGGGCCGTCGGGGCGCCCGGGCGCCAGGAGCATCAGGCTGCCCAGATGCGGGCGCCACTCTGCCTGCTGCTGCTCCTCGCCCACGCGGTGGACATGCTCGCCCTGCACCGGAGGAAGAAGCAAGGTACAGATGTGGCTGAACTGTGGTGGGGTAGTCTGAGGCAGACTCGTGGTAGCCTGGCGGGCATCTGTCTGGTGCCCAATGCCTGGGCTGTTGACGCAGGGTCAGCACGGGGAGCTGTCGAGCAACCTGGACCTAGGAAGCAGAGAGAAGGTTGAGCTCACTGGCCCCAGCCTCCTGGCCGGCCGTGTCCCAAGAGTAAATTCATGGACACCGAAACCCAAGGAACCATCCTTGGGACCAGGGCACTAGAAAACAGAGCTAGTGGCTTAGAAGCCAGCCGGAACATCCTTGCTGGACCACAGGGTCCCATCAAGAGCAGTTGCTCCGGGGCCTACATGAGGCCCTGACCCTGCTATCATCCCCCACCTCCCCGAGAAGTGATCTGGGTGAGCCTCTCTGGTGATCTTTTCTGGATGACCTGGAAGAAGTTTGTCCCCTCTAGGATAGGAGCCTTGGAATTTATTTTTCCTTTGGGACCTGCTGGAACTCCTAAGAAACCTGAACCTGAGACTAACTGTGCCTGGACCCTGAAAACATTGTCTTTGGGGTCCTGGGCCACAGTTCCTCAGTGCCACAGTCAGATGTCTTTTGTAGGTGAGTTTGGGACTGTCCCTGCAGAGCCAGAGTTGGCAGACTCTGTGCTGGCAGGAGGAGCAAGATGACCAGCAAGCCCTATGGCTGACCAGGGCAGGTCCTAGGACCTTTGATGCCTGCCTGTGAACCAACAGCCAAAGACTAACCACAGTGCCGAGAGTCTACCACACACTGTCTCCTCACATCCTTAAGATGCCCTAGTAACAGAGTGGCCGGCTCACTCTGTAGAGCTAGAACCCAAAGTGCATGCAGGGTGCTTTGCTGAGTGGTCCCACAGGCAGGAGGAAGCTCCAGCTGAGAGCCTGGGTCAGAGAATGCTGAGTAGGAGAGCGTGAGAGTGGCCTTGCGCTTAGGGCTTCGAGTCCATCCGCGTGAAAAGCCTTCTGTGGAAGCGGTAGCTCCTGTAAGGGAACAAGGTGCACAGAGGGACGGTGGGAGAGCAGGTATGAGGTGGGATGGCAGGCCATGGCCTAGGGGTCCATCTTCTAAGGGAGGTGGACAAAGGGACGAAGAATAGAGAGGCAGGTGGACTTAGGGGTCCTGAAGGTTTCCCTCTGTGAGTGGCCTTCACTCTGCTGTCCAGAGCCTAGGCACTGGAGTCAGTCTGTCTGGATGCACGTCGCTCCTTTGAAAGCTCCAGATGAGTAACTACAGCGGAGGCATTCAGGACTTAAGGTTTGCCTGCGTGGGATCCTTCACCACACTGGTCCTCCAGAATGCTTCTCCGTTCTGAAAGGATATTTTAAATCCTTTCCTTTTACCAGCTTATCTTTAAAATGGGAATAGATTTCCGTCTCCATCAGGAGGACCATAACTATGATGACTTGACGTAAGGTAGAGGGTTTCCTGCCTCTGCCAGCACCTCGTGGTCCTTGTCACCATAAATCATCCCAGGCTCTTGTCTGTTGTGTCATTAGCTACTTCCAGAAGCCCAGTGAATGCAGGGAGAGGTGCTTACTTTCTATAGAGAAAACAAGTTCAGCAATTCAGAGAGGGGGATTGACTTGTCTAAAGCTGCACAGCCGATGAGCAGGCTGAGATCATAGGATCAGATCCTAGCATCTCAGAGCTAAGATGATAGGGTGTTGTGAGGTCCTGTGAGCTGGATTGGTCTTCTTTTCTCAGAACCTCAGTTTACCTCACTAGAGGGGAATGTAGTTAGGCTTCTAAGATGCTTTCTCCCTAACCAAAGGAAGAGAGGGGTCGTGAAAATCCTTTGTTCCTTCCCGTTAGCCCAGCTCACTAGCGGCTCCTCAGAACTTGCCACAGAGAGATGCTCCTTGCATTGGTCCCGCTAGATGAACACGCTGCTTTTGAGTCTCAGGTGCTCCTGCCTGCCCAGCATCTTCAGTGAGGTTGTGACTGTGTTCATGTGAAGCAGAGCCTTGGGCTTCAGTCTCTCTCCTGACCCATTCATGCCACGTGACCTTAGATTAGAGGGTTTCTTCTCTGCTTCTGCAGAGAGTCTCGGTTTCCCCGTCGGCACAGCGGTGGAGGCTACACAACTCTAGAGCCTGTTCTGCAAGGCAGTCACAGTTGTCATGGCCAAGTAGGTTTGGGAAATGTAGGGTTTGGTAGAGTTCTTGGCTATGCAGGAAGAGGTGGTGGAAAGGGGCTGACCTCTCCCATACCTAGGCATACACAAGAGGACCATTTCTCACGCATGCCTTGGAAGGCTGTGCATATGGTCCTCAGGGGCTAGCTGACTTTGGCCCTCTGATCTGACTTTGGTGAGAGAATGTGTGTTTTAGATGCTCGGATATTGACAGTGCCTCGCTCGCTCGCTCCCTCACTAGCTCACTCATCTATTCCTGTAGTGTTACAGAGAAGCCTCCCAGCCAGGTTGTGTCGGAAGCCTGGAGGATGCTAAGCTGAGACATCCTAGGCAGCAGTAGGCTCCTTGCTTTCCTGAGCCGCCTCCCCCACACCCTGCCCTTGACTTCAGTCTTTGGCCCAGTAGCCAGCCATGGGGAAGGATCTGCTTACCCCAGCTTGATCTGTTCTGCCTCCCATGGGGTTCACTTCTCATGGACCTAGGCTCCTCTGGCTCCAGCGTCATCACTGGGTTTTTGATGAAACCTAATTTTTCTATTTCTACAAAACAGAATGAAAGAAAAGGCTTAAAAGGAGTTCTTGGATCTCAAGTGTCTCTTACAAAACACTTTGATTAATTAAGTATAAATGAATTAGAACCAGATGGCGACATTTCTCTTGAAATGAACTGGTGTGCCTGGCAGTGGGGCAGTGGAGCAAAATGAGGGGACTTGCTGGGCGATGGTGGCGCACGCCTTTAATCCCAGCACTTGTGAGGCAGAGGCAGGCAGATCTCTGTGAGTTCGAGGCCAACCTGGTCTACAAGAGCTAGTTCCAGAACAGCTAAGGCTGTGACACAGGGAAACCCTGCCTTGAAAAAAAAAATGAGGGGCCTCTAGGTTGTGTCCCCTGTTCCCAGATCTAGAGCTTCCGTAGGGATGAGATGAGACTGGGGTCCATATCCTCTGTCCTCTCCTACACTGGGCATGAGAACTTGGGCGGTCCACGCGCTTTCTCTGATATGTGTTTCCCTCATCTGCGAAGTGGGAGCCACTGAACCTGCCTTCTTGGGTAGCAGGAAAAATTTACCGTCACCCCAGAGGGAAAGTACACGAAGGCTTCTTAGGGCAGAGAGGGCTGGGCAGAGGGTACCGCCTGAGCGTTGACTTCCCCATGACCCTGTTCCCCTGAGCCATTTGATTTACTGTGGCAGGTGCAAGGAATACCATGTGCAAAGCCTGGACGGCAGCACTGGCCCCGGATGCAGATCCAGAGTGAGGGTTAACACCTGGGCAGGCAAGTGACAGATGGCACAGACCACCTGGGCCTCTTGTCTATGGGTCGGAGCGTGGCTGGGTGCAGAACAAGATGTGTTGCCTGAGAGATGGTACGCAGATGGAGCCGGCTCGGATGGACATTGGCGTGGCTCTGAAAAGAAAGCCTGTTCCCTTGGGGCAGAGCAAGGTGATGCCTTCATGGGTGCTGAGGGATGGGGTGGGTGAATCTTGACCTGAGACCTGGGTCTCTCGGGAAAATAGCAACTGGTTAAGTCTAGGAAGCAGAAGCCTGCACACAAGGCAAACAGACAGCTGATCCTGAGCTCCTCACCTGGCCTGTCCCTCCTCAGCCTCTCTGAAGCCAGCCTGTGTACAAAGGGAGGGGGAGGGGTTTTCCATTATCCTGCCATGGCCCTGGGAGGCCCTCCAGAAACCCTCCCTATTCCCAGTCACCAGGGCTGCAGAGACCACAGAGAGAGCTGGCCATGTACTGGGACCCTGAATGGACTTCCTTTTCCATGCTTTTTGGCAAACCCGTTTTTTCAGGCAAGGCAGTGAAGGGGCAGCGGCCTGTGGAGAACTCCCAACAGCTGAGTTGGGGCACAGAACCAAAGCTTAGGAGACACCCCAGCCTGTGCCTAAATCAATCAAGGACTGACGATCAGGTCTTGGTGAGCCTTAGCGGGTCATCAAGCAGTGGTAGCAGGTAGCGACCTGCAGGAGGAGGGGGAGCCTGGCCGCATTAGGGACCACATGGTGGTGGTGGTGGGGAGATGGGAGCCCCGCTGTGGACAGAGCTAGTGTTGGGTCATGGAGGGATTTGGGGTTCCATTTTTGCTGAGCTCCCGTGTCCAGACTCTACTGGATCCTAAAGACAGCAGGGTGGACACCACACTGTCACTGATGTCATAACACCCAGCAAGTCCCCAAAGCCCATCAGGGATAATGCTATGGCAGGGCCCCAGTCCTCTTCAGCCCAGCCTTGACCGGCAGGCTGGCCATTGTTCCAGTCTCAGCTGGGGACTCCAAGAAGGGACATTGCTTGGGGACTCTGGGGCTCCAAGAGGAGACATTGCTGAGCTGGAGTGTGTAAGAGGTTTGCTGTCCCTTATGAAGGGATTCACACCTGAGATATGAAGCCTTGGCAGTCAGCAGTCAACTAAGTACGTTACAGGCCATCAGGCCATTTTTTTTTTAATGAATGGCATGGAATAGAACAGGACAGAAGGGAACAGAACAGGGCAGAAGAAAGTAGAATGGAAGGAGATGGAGGTTGTTTCTGTAAAGAACTAGAGTCAATATTCTAGGTTTTGTGGACCACCCAGGATCGTGCCAGAGGCCGTGGCATACCATACTCTCTGCAGAAACTGGCAGAGTGCTTTTCCAGTGTTGAGAAGGGTAGTGATGCTTGCTTATGTGTAGGGCTGTATGCACAGGCAGGTATGTGAGCATGCTTGCAAGTATGTGCAATTGCACATGGAAATGTGGTGTGTGCTCTCATGAGTGGGAGTGTGTGTACAGCTTGAATGTTAATATAGAATATTTTTCTACTTCTGTGCATGTTTGTGATGTGCATGCCTATGTTATGCGCATGTT